AAAATGCACATTTCAATTAACCACCCATCGATACATTTACAATACCCTTGATTTCTTCTTTTGCCCCTTCTTCCTTCTTCACATCCTCCTCCTCCGTGCGTTTGTTTATTTTTTTTAATAATATAACGTTCATAAGTTTTTTTGGTTTTTTTTAATAAAGCGTTCAGAGGTCATTTAATAAAAATCGCCTGAGGATACCGTAAGGTTGAAACCCAAGTAGCGGATTCAACTGATCTCCTGATTTTTCTAAAAACTAATGTTATTTTTACTTTATTCATGTTAACACATTTTAATTTTTCCTGGTCTGATACGTTTATTTATTGAATATATATATATATATATTTTATATAATATATATATATATATATTTCCTGGTCTGATTGAGAGAGAGAGATCATTAAGAGAGAGAGAGAGAGAGAGAGATTTATTTATATATATATAGATATATATATATATATATATATTTAGAGAGAGATTGAGAGAGAGAGAGAGAGAGAGAGAGAGAGAGAGAGAGAGATTGAGAGAGAGAGAGAGAGAGATTGAGAGAGATCGAGAGATTGATAGAGAGAGAGAGATTGAGTTTAGCTGTTGAGAGAGAGAGCTCATCAAGAGATGAGAGAGAGGACAGAGATCCGAGAGATTGAGAGAGAGAGATTGAGAGGATTGAAGAGAGAGATGAAAGAGAGATTGAGATATAGCATCAATGTGGCAGGACATCCGATCCTACCAAACGATATAGCATCAAAGGATCAGATCAAAAAGGGAAATTCTAATGTATTAGAGATACGAATGTATACAAACGATAGAGAGGGAGAAAAGAGTGTTTATTAAATGTGCATAGTATGTAGGTATGCGAGTAATTCTTTCGATTATGTGGGACTTTTAGGTGTCCGACGCTTGAGGTTAAGAGACAGAGGATGAAATTCTTTTCAGCGGCTGTCCTGATCTATTTGCCTGCTCGTCGCTGTCTTAACACTTAAAAAAAAATAATAATAATAATACAATAGAGTTCATTCCCGAATTGTTCTGGATTTTGATTGATTCCAGAAATGACTCATTTGACAAACATTTTTCCTTCCCCTACATTTAGCCTCTTGTATTTAGTTATTTATTTATCTTTTTGCTTTTATTTCCTTTTGGTAAAGATGGAGTAAGGGATAGCGGCTCGGATTGAGGAATCGGAGAGCCGAGTTCGAATTCCGGTCATTCACTTACGGGAAAGGTATGAACCTCCTCCCCCCAGTTATGGGTAAATAGTAGGACAGACGGTGTTCTATAGCCTTGGATGGCAACTGGTCTACCGCAGAAAGAAATGGCAACCTACAGCGGGAAAAATATCTGCCTCGTCAGTCATTTATCAAAAGATAAATGATCGCCTAAGCGTGTATCACGCATGGTAAAATGGTTTGCCAACTTTTAGCTTTTTATTTTTGAAATAGTGATCTTTTTATTTTTCTATCACTACACATCTGCGAGGAGATTGTTCAGCATTCAGTGCCATCTAAGAGGATTGGCATTACGTAATAGTTCATTCCTTTTTTATTTCTAACGAAATTTTCTTGTTTCTTAATACATTGCTTAACTTTTGAAAGGCATGTTTTCGCTATCCCAATGCGCCTTTGGCGTGTTGCACTTTCCGTCCTCTGTTAAAATAGTTCCCAGATAAATTGTTGCAATTTTTTTTATTATATTGATAGCCCCAATTTGTAATTGGCATGTTGAACTGTCCCTTTTACTAATGCATTCTGTCTTCTTACAGTTAGTGATTTCTTCATGATTTTCAAATTTTTTTTAAGCGTTTCACCCCAAGCAAGGCGGGAAGCCACTAGGACGCAAGGAGTTACAGAGAGTCGGGGCAAGAGCAAATAGGAGTGATAGAGGATGAAGAGAAGGTTAGGGGATAGATCAAGGCATCTGGAGACGTCAATTGACATTACATTTTAATAGTTGCAGATTATAGCTATCAGGGAAACAGGAAGAGGGGGGAGTTCCACAGGCGAGAGGTAGATATGTTAAAATATTTTAAAACTTAAAAAAGTTCAACAGAAGATTTAAAAGTTTCGTTTTTAGAATAGGAATTGCAAACAGAGTTTTCATTTATTTTAATTGTTTCATCCCAAGCAAGGCGATAACACCACTAGAATGCATGGGGGAGCAGAGAGACAGGGGGGGTGAAAGTCAAAGAGAATGCCGAGACTGACAATCGGGAGGAAAGAACAATAAAGGAAGAAGACAGAAAATAGCGATTGACGTTGCATTTAAATTTTTGAGGATTGTAGTTATCAGGGAAGCAAGAAAACGGAATGGAGTTCCACTGACGGGAAGTGCGAGAAAAGAAACTGTTAGAGAAGTGGTGGTTGCATCTGGCTAATTCAACAATAACTAAAAACAGTGAGACCTAATTACCAATCTAGTAGCACACTTAAATTTAGTCGAGGCACCAGAGGAGAAAAAAAAAAAAAGCTCATCAGCGCAGTTATCGTGAAAATATTTGTAGAAAAGACAGAGGGAAGCTACGTGACTGGAGACGAGATTGACATTATTTACAAGCGGATTATTGTCTTTACTCTATCTTTGCTGTTATTATCTCACAAAGTTTAGCGTTGTGCCCTTCGACTTTCGTCAAGTGCTTGTCAATTTTTGGAGGATTGTGAACTAAACCCTTTTTATTTGATCTACGGACATATGTTTTAAGGGAATAAATGTAATAAGTGAAAAATTCAAATTTGTAACTTTAGGACTTCTTTTTCCATAGGAAGTGTTTTATTAATCATAATCGGAAGTGTTTTATTAATCATAAAACACTTCCGATTCTGAGTTTTAAGAACTCGTATTTGTTTGTTGCGTGGGTCTTACGCCTTATGATTACGAGTCAAAAAATAAAAAAAAAAAAAAAAAAAAAAAAAAGTCGTATGAACGCGCATTTGTTTTTTTTAGCTTCCGTAGGCATTACTGCCGATTTTTAGAATCAATTTATCAAAGTAAACTGCTTCTCCATTATTCACGTTTTTATACAATTTAATTTTTTTTTCCAAATATTCGTGCTATGGAGTGCTTTATTCAAAAAAATTACCTCTCCGCATATTGTTCAACGCCACTAAAAGTTTTATATTTTATTATTTAATTTAAATAAAAATATTTTAAATATTAAAAAAATAATAATAAATGTAAAAAAAAAGTTTGTCACAATATTGCGAACAAAATATTGATTCACGGAGCAAAAACGTGTGTACTGTGTAGTCGTCTGAAGTTACAACAGGTTTCTCGCTAAGAAGTGCGTGTGTGGTGCGGGGGTACCCCCATTATAATCCTTCCCTATAGTCCCGTGAAAATGATGTGTACTAATTCTAGTGTGCAAATTCTTTCTCACCTCTATCCTATCTTAAAGGCCGCCACCTTCAAACAAACAAAAAAAAAAAAAACCCTTTGATAACAACTTTAATTTGCAAATACTTAAAATCTTAATCTTTTTGGGGATTTTTTTTAACTTCTTGCAAGTAAGTTCATTTTTCGTCTCAAATGTCAGGTTTTTGGGGGGTTTTATTTTTAAATTAAATCGTAAATTCAAATTGCAAAAATTGTTAAAGTGAGTCATGGAAAAAAAAAATGACGTTATCTTTTTTACTCCCGTCACAAAAGACATTGACGCAAATTAATTTTTTTTCTTCGTCATTCCTTGTCATTTGATATTCGAAAAAGATTTTTTTTTTTTTACCACACTTATTTGATCTGAAAAGAAAATTGGAAAAAAAAATCTACAAGAATGAGAGAAAAATGAAAAACGAAATTAAGGTCAATAGAATTTTTTTTGTAGCATAAGGAAGTCTTTATAAAAAAAAAAAAAAAAAAAAACGTACTTACAAGAACAAGAGAATTTTCGCTTTTTTTTTTTGCATTATTCATGACTGGAAATATTTTAAATTATGTATTTTAAACGAAAGGAGAATTCAGTATTGTTAAGAAATTAATTATCTAAATTGTTAAGTTATTTTAAAAAAAAAAAAAAAAAAAATCAAACGGTGTTTTGTTTAAAACTAAAGTAAAAAAAAAATCAAATTTTATCAATTCTAACGATTTTAAAAAAACTTTTAGTTTTTACTTATGAAAGTAAATATTAATAGTTTACTACTGTTTAGTTTACAACACGTAAATTCTTTTTAAGTCTACTCTAAAGTTATTTTGGGTTTTACTAGCAAAAACATTCCTGGGGCCAGCCTGGAATTTGAAGTTTAGAAAAATAAAATGCGTGTCCGATTTATTCTTTGTGAAAAAATCAACCCAGTGAAAATGTCAAACTTTTTAAGTTTTAATTTTTAGCAAAGTTTTAATTAACAAAAATTTTCTTTTATAGGGTAACGCCCACTTATTTTTTTTTTTTTTTTACGCATTTTTTCACTTCGTCGTTTAACAAAAAAAAAAAAAAAAAAAAAAGGAAAAGAAAAATTTAAGTGCGTGATTGTTAGTACGATGTATATTTTTAATTTTTTTATTATTATTTAATAGTTTTACTTTTATATTACTTTAATAATTAATTTTATTATTTATTTTGCTGACAGAAAAAAAAATATATATATTTTTTATACATTCTTAAAACAAAGTTGTTTTTTTCCCCCCCAGGTAAAAAGTGAAAAATTCATTAAAAAATTTATAAAGAAATAAAATAAAAAGTAATAATAAACCAAGTCTAGTCTAGAGTGGGCGACTGAATTAAAGAAACTACTATTCCACTTTATTGTAAGTAGATTTTTTAAAAAAAGAAACTTACGACGACTGTTTTAGTTTTAGTGTTTTACTATTACGTTTTTAATTTACTGCGATTAAAAAATACTGAAAAATGATTTAAAATATTTTAAAAAAAAAAAAAAAAAAAGAAAGAAAAATCTTTAATTACAATCACGTGTTCAAAATATAAAAAAAAAAAACATATTTTTGAAAAAAAAAAATGTAATGGCATTCATGAGAAATATAAAAGAGAAAATTATTGGAACGAAAATACTTACTTAAAAAATGCTGTCAAGAAAGAAGAAGAGACAAAAGTTTTTTTGTTTTTTTTTTTTAAGAGATTAATCCGTCAGTGTGAGGAATGAAATAAACAAGAAATTATGGTCACTTCTTAACGGTGGATACGGCATCAGTTTCGCTTTTGGCAGTTTGCTTGTCTTTGATAGAAATTTAATTTTACATAAATATTTTTCTTTTATATTCATTTGCCATAATTCCAACGCAGTTGGCTCGAGTTCTTCTAGCCATCTCTTTTTGTTAAAAACTGCACATAAGAGTGTTCAGGGGTTGTTAACATCACTAAAAAAAATGAAAGTACTATGCCAAGTTAGACCAAACTTTTTTTTTTTTTTTACTCCGTCACAACGAAAAGAGCGAGGGGAAACTAACATACACTTCTTATCTTTCGAGCAGGCGCACGCTCAGTGTGTGTTGAGAAGGAGTGGACCTTTATACAAAAGGAGTTTTCTGCGAATATTTCATCAAAATTGTTTTGAGATTGTTTTCATTGACTAACAATAACAATCACCCTTACACACACACACAAACAAAACAAATAAGATAAAAAACAGAATAATAAGTCAGTCTAGTAGTGTTTCTGTCCGCTAAAGAAAGACAGTCAAAAATAAAATAAAAAAACTGACAAGTGACTCGTTCACTGTGTACATAATTGACGAGAGCTTCAGATGGGGAGGATTTTTGTTTGTTAAACAAAATACGTCAAAACGTCATTCAGTCAAGAAATAACCAATTCTGACAGTCGTAGCCAAACTTGCATTCGAACTAAGCACTTCTTAAGACAAGATATGTTTTTTTAAATTAATTAATTAATCCTTACTGGCAAATTATCGTTTTGTTGACCCGCGCTCGGAAGTACATGTCCTAAAAGGACACTTATTTTTTTTTTAAATTCATAAATCATAAATTATTTATTATTATAGTTGATATAGTTTATAAAACAGGTAAATATTTAATTTCTATCAATAACGAAGAGAAATATGAGGTCCGCAAACGGTTCTAATGTAGGTGCCTCCATGAAATCACTAAAAAATAAACATACCATGATGATGAAAACGTACTCCCAAACTACGAATGAAAACATAGTTTTATCATCAAAATTGCTGTGTTATTATTAAGAGGAAAGTTTGTTTTTTTTTAATATTTGATTAAATTTTTTACTCCTTTTTAGAATATTCCAAACTTTGATTAAATTTTTTTGTTTTATTTGTACCAGCGGATTAGCGTAATAAATTTTAGCCTCTTTTTTGGAATGACAGACACATTGATTTGGAAATTCTTGCAAAATCAAATAATTGCCAAATTTTAATTAAATTTTTAGGACTTATTCATAAATTAATGAAATTAGTTTTTAAATGTTTCTTATTAGAAAATTTTGGTAAAAATATTTTTTTCTCAAGTTTTCATAAAATTAAGTAAGGGAGTGAACCTTTAATTTTATAAAAACTTGAGAAATTCAACTTTCAATTTTTTAGTGACTTTAAAAGCAAAATTCTTTAGAGAATTTAAATCACCGATTTATTTTTTATTTTTATTTATTCATTTATTTATTTGCAAAATTGGACCCCGTCTTACCGAAAATCTGCTCTGAATCGAAAATAAAACTAAGACATTTAGAGAAGCTTTTAATTGCTTTTATGAGGAAGGGGCAATATTGTCTTAAAAAACGAGATATTTTAAGTAACGACCTCAACTTTATGCTACATTCGGATTGATAATTAAAGACACATTTCCTTGGATATGTAAACATTAACACTGCCAGATTTCAAGAAACCAATTCCACAAACAGCTCGAAAATATTTAATGCGGGAACCTTTTAATATATAATGGGAGAGCTTGAAGAAAGTTTTATTCTTTCAATTATTTCCCCCATTATGGGCATTATCTATGATATAATAACACCATATTTCACGGACGGCACGGAATGGCTGAAAGGAAAAGGAACGATAAACATCTGTTGCGGGCCGGTGTATGCGTTGAGAGATAAACACGTGTGTCTCCTGAAATGCCCACAACAAACATGGCAGACTCAGGATATGAGTCCACGTAAATAAATGTAAGGAAAAGACAAGAACCGTTATATATGTACAAACAAACAAACAAATAATAACGTATTAACGAGAAAAGTATACAAGTGACAAAGACAATAATGTGTGTGACAAATGAATGTGAAAACTATGTGTGTTTGTGTGTGTATTGTTCATACGTTTCTCAAAGTGAACGCGTTTTCTTTGAGAGGTTACATACTGACGTGTAAGCGGAAAAAAGTGAGAAGAGAGTAAGAAAAATGATCGCAGAGTATTTATAGTCCTGAAAGCGTCCCCTAGTCGCGGTTTCGAAAATTAGGAGGAGGTAACCCGACATATCCTTGTTGTCAGAGAGAGTTTTATAATGCTAGGTCATACACAAAATTATATGTGCATATTTACACGTATCCCATGCAGAGAAAAATACAATATATATACACCCAGCAAACAGAGTGAAAGAACAAAAAGATAGGGTCTTACATATAGTATGGAAATTCTTCTGTGTTTCTGGAGAAGCCATGTTTAAGACTCCAAACTTAAATGGGCCGGAATCATCTACTATGTCCCAAGCGAGGACATATTTCACGAACAGGAAACGGCGAGTCTTGAATATTTCAAAATTGAGGACTGCTAGCCGGAGATAATTCCTATTTATATCTGGGAAAGATATATTTCCAAAAGGAAACGGCGCCATGGTCCTTGTAAGCTGTAGCATGTGCTGGAGGAGGCAGATTTAGCCGTAACCCGGGTTAAAAAGAACAACATAAAAGCAGCCGCTCTGTTTCACGCCTCTAAACCGAATGAATGACTACCACTTTCGTCACTGTATGGGGTTGGTGTCACCAAGCGGCCGTCACCTGACCCACGTAACTTGCTACCACCAATTGGAGACAATTACTTTTAGTATTTCTACAACCATCTGCTATTGTTAATCCAACTCTGTGATGAGGACACATTGGGATATCCAAAGATGCCTTCCAAAAGAAAGTAAGCAGTAAGCAGAGTACGAAGAAAAAGAAAAGAAAAAAACACTTCGCTAGAAACAAAGAAAAGACTACTAAATTGTTACGTGATATCTGTCCTCGTTGTATGTCAGTGAGTGCTGGGAAGTTAATTGAAGAGAAAAATATTTTTTTTTAAATCACAAAGCAGAGAAGAAAATTCCAGTGAAATTTATTTTGATTTTTTTTTTTTCAATATTGATTAAACAACCTGTGTAAATGTTGGTGTCTGTGTTGAAACATTTTTTTCTAAGAGCCTGATGATTCAGCAAATATATGCTATTTGGAGGCCTTAGAACAAGTTGTACTGGTGCTTATGACTAGTCATAACTATACAAATCAAAAGTCATTTACTGTAAAGTAGCAGTGTGACTTAACGACTTGATTTAACTGTGTTGTTAAAGTTATATAAATTTCTACGTGCAAGGCCAGTGTCTTTTCAACAGTTAATCATTTCTTGATGTAATGCTTGAAGAGGTTTTATACTATTGCCGATGACATAAAATACTCTAATCCTGACAAGGCTATCATAGCTTGTCTGGGAAAGATGCTGATTCTTTTAGTTTAATCCTTCAGTGTTTCAGTACTTGTTTTAGATTATGTACTTGTAAAAGAGTGCAGTATTGAGAAGAGCTTTCAGTCTAGTGACAATAAAACATGATGGTATATATCAGAAAAAATGCTCACATATTTAAGTACTAGTAATATTAGTTAATGGCAAAACAAAATATTTGTATTGTTTATCCATCAAGTGAGACAGCTTAATATGGATTATTTTTGTGGTCAGACTTTTTTTTTGGGGGGGGGATTTTTGTCAAGAATCGTATACACGGACGAACTGTAGATTTTTAAATATGCGTGATGCGCGTTCTTAGCGCATATATACAGTGTAACCCGGATATAAGAGAGCTGTCGGGACCGGAGAAGAAGTCTCTTATATCCGGGTTTCTCTTATATCCGGGTTTGGTCTATTTTGTTTAGGTAAGGGGGAACGCTTTGGGACCAGAGAAAATCTCTTATATCCGGGTTTCTTATATCCGGGTTATATCCGGGTCTCTTATATCCGGGTTACACTGTATATTGTACATTTAACGATTCAAGAAAAAACAGCGAAACTCCACACGTGGATCAACAAATAAATATATATTGAAATATAACATGCAAAACAATGCAGTGAAGTGTAATGATTAAGAAGAAAAAAGAGTTGTTCCCCTTCAACTGTATTCTGATTTATGATTGAATGTTTGAAAGAATTTCTCTTGAATAAGAATGTTCAGGATTCTATGTTGAATAGAGTTTGCTTTTAGAATAGAATACAGTTAATTAAGAAATGTGTTGGTTTGAGAAATTAATAGAGGTCTGGTTCATGAACTTGGCTGAGTCACAAAGAGAGATATGTATTATGCGTTACAAAAATCTGTGTATGTGTGTGCGTTTAAAATGTTGTGAGTAAAGTCGTAGATTTGTGTAGACAGGCGAAATAGCTGGACTCTACTGGCGGCTTGTGACAAAATTGCTTCTTTTAAAGGTACCGGTAGGCTCCGAGCGAAAGCGCGGGAAAAATTGATTTAGTATTAAAATGTTTGATTGGTTAAAATTTGTCCAATTACTGATTTTGTATCAAAGAAACATGTGAGCAAGTTCACGACCTAAAAATTCAAAGTGATGACTGCGATTGCTAAATTGTCTTATAGAAAAACAGTATTGATTTACTAGCCAATCACAGACGAATAAATTGTGGGCGTAGAAAGGCATAGCAGTCGCTACATATGCAAGATGGATTTTGATGAGAAAAAATTTCTTACACGAGACAAGGACCCAACTTTCATTGAAGTAGATACAGCTATTTTTTTTTTCAAAATAGTAGAAAAACGTGAGGTCAAGAAGGCGTAGTTTGTTGTACTCTAGCGTTAGCCATGCTGATGGCAGACAGAAAAAGTTCTCTGTATTCAGAAAATTAAATGAAAGTAAGTCTGTTTTGGAGACGTTAACATTTACAAGTCATTTCTTGCCCCAGTTAACCAGTGATCGGGGGCCTTTTTCAAGAGCATCTGACCTACCTACAATGACAGGATGGGACACAAG